CATTCTGTGATTCTGTGATTCTGTAATCAGCAGAAAGTTATGGTACATCTGTAATAATCAGTCCATGTCTATTAACAGGAGATAGGAAGTGAAGCAGTTAGCTTAGCTTAGGCACAGCCCAGGGTGTGCAGATTAGCTGGAACCGGGTGCAGTGAGTGCTGTTGGGTTGATTGTGGATGCAGCAGCAGGCATATGTTGTGAAAACCTCAGCGGGTCTGTAGGAAGTGCAGGCGAAGAGTTCAGCAAGGCTGTATTCATAGCTGCTGAAAATAACTGAAGAGCTTTGAAGGGTTTGTTTGAGAGTTCGGTCTGGCACCATTAATTGTTCCCTTTACTTCTGTCTTCAGACAGTTTCTGTTGGAAATTTTGCCTCACCCTCTATGGAGGCTAGAATTGATACCGTTACCACTGAAGTGGAGAACAGGAGTTGACAGCACAGGTTCAGACATGTCACTAAAAGCCTTTTAAGACATATTCTTTACATTAACCCACAAAAATCAATGCAAAGGCCTCTCAGTGCAATAGCAGCTGAAATTATGCATATCTAATATGGCGTAATCATTATGTACATTATCACAGGCAGATTCGATATTATTTTTTATTGCATTATTGGCGTTTCGTTTTCACGGACACGCTATGGAGAGTCAAAGATTGCAATAAATCTCATGTAACATGGCTGATCCTACAAGGAGGTGCACAGCGCAAACTTCTGTCGAAGTTGATATGAAATTCTCCTGCGTGTTTAACAGAGCGAGGCCTTTCTCGACTACTTAAGAATGGCACTGAGGGACTGTGAGCAAGGGAAATAGCTGTACAGTGATCTTCTACATTCAGCAGAGAAAATCTCCTCATCAGTCTCTTCTGGTAGAAGTCTTTCCTGGTTGGTGAGACTGAAGAGGATCTATTGAGAATAAATAACCATAAAATACCATGCAGCTGGCTGCAGCTGCCCACCTTTGCTTGAACAGTAGCTGTAGGAAGTGCGTTGCAGACCAGAGCGAGGCTAAAAGTTAACTTTTCACCGCAGCTGTCCTGCATCTGCAGAGAAAGAGGTGGATTTTACCTTTTCAATATTAAATTATGGTAAATTTTGAGTATGAAGAAAATATATTTAGTATCAGGTCGCACTTGAGTGTAATTTCTGAATATCTACTCTATGTTTGCTAAGGGAAAGAAGTGGGTATGCATTTTCATTCTGATTTAGTAAAATGCCAGTATAAAACATGCCAAATGATTGACCTCAGTGACAGAAGTGTGAGCCTTTCTGCACAGCTGAGGCAGAAGCAATGTTTGCTCTAACATTAGACTGCTTGCCAGTGGCCAGGTTGCCACAGTATTTCCTTGGGCCATTTGTCAGCCCCCCTGCTACATCTGTGAGCCGCAGGACAGACTGTGCAGATGTGAACTCTTCTGTCCCCCAGGAAGCAGGTTTGGCATGGATAGATGCTTGTGATAGCTTCCTTCAGCACTTTAGCCACAAAATCTAGGATTGTACCTATGGCTGTAGGTCATCAGTACAAACACACTGTAGACCCAGCGGATCAGAGGTCGTAGCTCTGTGATGACATCTATTTCACCTTGACATCGCTTAGCCTCTAGCACAGTCTTCAAAGAAAGGTGTTGGAGGAGGGCAGAGTGCTAATCTGATTCCCTAGGGGAGACTGGTGAGGCAGGTTATATTTTCTCTGTTATATTAGCTTTGGTATTGCATTGGGAGCACTACTTTTTTTAGTTGGGTTTTTTTTCTTTTTGTGCAGGTGAAGCTATGACTTTTCACCTGTTTTAAGCTCCTGGCTTTTAAGGAAATACTTGTCTATTTGGCCTGGTATTATAGCTACATTAAAAAAAAATACATATAAGTGATTATTTCTTAGGTAAAGAGAGCTATCGATATTAAGGAATCTAAACCAATTTCTCTTTTTGACCAGCAGTAGCCATTTCACAAAACCAGACTTCCAGAAAGGCCTGTGCAAACAATCTGAAATTAGTTTTTGAAAGTCATGGTTGTAATATTGCCGGCAGAAGAGCAGGCTTCACAGTCAAGGGAGAGCCTTGTGTGGCATTCACATTCTTACTCCAAAATGAGAGTTTCAAGCCCCATGTCCTGTTGCTCATCTCGTCTCTTTTGAAGAGAATCCACTAAATGGTTGAGGAAAATGGTACTGCTGCCTGTAGACAGTGAGCCCTGGAAATCAAAGCTGACACCTTGATTTGCAAAGGGAAGCGGGTTGGAAACTAATGCAGCCAGAGGTAGGGATGCAAGTGTTAAACCCTTGCTGACTGTACTGCCACATCCTAAGGAAATTATTGGCTTTTCAGTCAGCTCCTAAGGCCACGAAATGATTGTTCTATGGAGATTACTCTGAGATGGATCCGGTTACAGTTCCGTTGTTTGTTTTGGGCTGTAGTATGCAGGTGAACAGTTGTATGTGTTTTTATTACCTCCAGTTAGGTTTCCACAGATGGAGGGATGTTAAGTTTGAAGTGTTCCATGTGTTCTCCTTCTTGGTCACTGTATCTGTTCCATACTGCAGTCCTCTTGGTGCAGAGCAGAAAAATCTGTGTTATAACTCTCCTGTTACTCATTTTATTTCACTGTGCTCTCTTTCAGCCCATGGACCAGGCTTCTCTTAAAAATAGCGATGTTCTCATCCTGACGGGTCTTACGCAAATCCCTACTGCTAACCCAGATGGCATGGTAGGAGAGTTCTGCAGCAACTTGGGTAGGTCGTTGAAAGAAGTCTATTGCCTATTTTATCATCTTATTCATTGCTTTGGGTGGGAAATAATTCTGAGATTCCTGGAATTGAATAAGTTGTCCAGCTATAGCTTCTGGCATAAAACTAGCTGTTTAGATTTTATGATGTGCTCCTGATGTCATTAATACTGTAAGTGCTTGGAGAGACACAAGTTGTACCTAAAATGTTTTGGAATGGAACAGGTATAATGAGATTTAATCATGTGCTGCTCTTGGTTTCCCAAGTATGTCGCTTAGCTGCCAACAGACTATGTGTTGCCTAGGTTTTGGGTATTGTTCCCAGCTGAAATATTACTATTTCCTTCCTGTATATCAGCCAGTGTAAAATCTTTACATGCTTTTTTTATGACTTTCAGTTTTGAAAACAAGCACATCTGCTTCCCTTCTTACACCTGATTTTTAAATATATCAAAAGCAAACAGCACAATCTCTGTTTAAAAAAAAAATCAAGATATATTTATAGACCCCAGAAATATAAAACCTAATCAGACGCTTTCACAGCTGGAAAAGCTGATAATTGCAAAGCTGCGATATCAGTGTGAATGGCAGCATTTTCCAGCCTGTTTGGAATGTCACATCCAGTGCTGTTCTCTCCTTTTCTCCCCTTCCCCCACCTCAGTTCCTCTGTGCTCTCACCCTTCTGTCATCAAACCACTTTCTCATGTCTGTCCTGCTGTACATTGTTTGTTCTTTTATCAGAGGTTTTCCTTTTATTTTAAACCAACTACTTTTTACAAAGAAGACTAAAAAGCTCGTGATAGGAGGATTCTTACAAAGGTTATCAAAAGACATTAGAAGTCTAAATCAGAGAATCCTCACTGTAAGCAAGTGTTTTGGTCCCCATTACACACCGGGGAGAAATTTGACCTGTAGTAAGGTGCCTTACTCAAGGTCGAAGAATAAGGTTGATAACAAAACTGAATTGCAAATTCTTAGTCTTTTTTACATATGAGTGTACCCTTGGAGAAGAAAAAAAAAACACACAAAACTTTGTGTTTTTTTCACATTTTAAAATCTTTGTGCATATTCACAGATGGTCTTTTCCAACCTAAATGATTCTGTGATTTTATGATTCTGTGATCTTTGTATTGACTCACAATCCCAGTATGAAACTGCTGAGGTAGTGGAAGGCAAATAATACAAAGGATGTGGTAGATCCTTCATCACCCACCAACTCTAAATCAAAATCAGATGTCCCTATTCGGGACATGTGTCAGTTCAAACAGGAGTCATAGGTCCTGTTGTGGGATGTACAAGGTAAAATAATGTGGGTTTTGTTTTTATGAAAAAATGAGTTAAAGGATCAGAATGATTCCTTGTAGTGCAAATAACTGTTAATAGAGTGTGTTTTGGCATTTTGTAAGAATGATAATCATGAGTTATACCAAAGAACCTCTCTGCCAACATTCTGGCTCCAACAGGGGCCATGAGCAGATGCCTTGAGAAGAGCAAAAGAACAGGGTGAGATTGTATAATACTTTCCCCTTATAATCTCATAGCCTTGAAGTATTTTTATTTCAGGGATTTCCTTAATCAGACATGGCTTTTGTGTAGTTAGTACTGTTCAGTGGATTTCTCTTCCAGGAACTTGTTCAACGTCCCATTGAAGCTGTGTTAATTCTTAACACCTGTGACTTCCTTTCCTGAATGATAAATGTGTTTGTGTGTGTGTGTGTTTTGCAGTCTCTGTTTTCATTCTTTTTAAGCATTGTTAATTTTATTACCCCATGAGGTGTCACAGAAAAGCTTTAGTGACCTTGTTGTGGTAGATCCAAATGTGCTGCCCTTCTCCGTCCCTTCTGGAGGTTGCTGTTCCCCTGACAGATGGTAGCACGATCACATCCTATCGTCTTACCTTAAACCACCAAGGAAGCAAACCTGAGCTGAAATGTTAGACTTTGTACTGGAGCGGCCAAGGAGTGGTAACATGTTGCCCTGCTGCCAACTCTGCTGCAGATGTGCTCTAGCAACCACCTTGGTGGTCACTCTTGTCTTGAGCTGCAACAGCTGTATGCTCAGTAAACAAGAGCGAGACAGTTGTTAATCAAAATGCTTTTAAAAATTAAACAAAGTCTTAGAGATGTAGCTTGGCCAAAGCAAAATCCAGTGGCGTATAAATGAATGCATTACATAGGTAGGTACAGGTGAGTGTTTATCTACACAAGTTGTTCTGGTTTACGGAAACATTCTGAACTATTTTGAGGGTTTTGCAGAAGGTCTTCAAGCCAGCTTCTATCTTGAATGAGACAAACTCAGAGAAATCAGAAAATTATTAAAGACCAAAGGAAGATATACACTTAACATGATGCCATTGTAAGAATCTGGAATTTGAGTGGTATTCACCAAAAAACACAGTGACCTGAAGAAATTAAATAACTCTAAGAATAATTTAGTGGTAGGGCTGGCTTTTACATGACACCAGCAGTATTTACGCCTCTACCCCAGCATCAAGAGAAGAAAACAGTGATTCCATTTTCTTTCAGATGTGTAAAAAAGTCCGAAGAGCAATAGGTTACTGGGGAAAGCAAGGGAGTAGGCAAGCCGAACAGAATAGTTTTTATATATTTTTCCCATTTCCAAAATGTTCAGGGGACTTCACAAGAAGCTCAGAACCCACTAGGAAAAAACTCTAAAGCAGACACTGGAAATTTACCAAAAATGACTGTTATGAAGTAATGTCATGTTTTGAGTAAGTGTTGTGAAGCACAGAAATGGAAGTGTGAAAATTTCACCTTGATATATTTCCATCCCAGCGTGTAGAGTCGTAGACGCTTATTCCCATTATAACCAAGTCACATGCATGATTTCCTCCTCACATTGTGTGTGCAGCACTGAAACCACGCTTTGTCACGTCTCCAAGCTCCTCTCAGTTTAGCCCAAACCCCTTTTTTTCTGTGCTCAGCACTGCAGCACCAGCACTCTGCAGCTCGAGAAAAGCAATTGTATTTTTACATTGCCTTGGGCATCATCAGCAAAATTGCCAGACTGTCTGTAGGGACAGTTTGTGATATTTTGTGTGTGTGTGCGGTCGTGCCTGTGTGTGTGTGTGCGTGTGTGTTTATATAAAGCCGAAAAGAGCACAGTTTGCTTTTTAGGTGCCAACTTGACCTTGTGGCAGCTGTTCGAAAAGCAAGTATCTCATTGTGAGTTGTAAATTGAACAACTTGTTATGGAGCTGCTGAAGGAGACTAAATTTGAAATGCCAAGATTATTATACTACTTTTATCAAGAGAGCGCATCCATCAGTCACAGAGATAAATTGGGCTTTAAACAGCTTTCAAATATACGTGTCCTCTTACTAACAACTGTAGGAAGTTGCCGTAGTGGTGCAGAGCCAGATCGGACCTGCAGCTCGCATGGAAAGCAATATGCTTGGAAAGGTTTTCATCCCTCTTTTGCTGAAACTAGGAGGTAATTCTTGGCTCTTTATGGAACCACTTTAGAGCAACCTCAAGAAATAACACCCAGCTGTGCTGACCACAGCACATACAAATAAACTTGCACCGAGGAACAGAGTAATATATTCTAAACCAAAAGGCTGTCACACAGAGCTTGTCCGTGGTGGGATAGCTGTGGTGCTGTCCTTTCCTGTCCTGGCAAGTCAGAGTATTCACCAGGCTGGTTTCGAAGGTGCGTCACTGTGCCACCAGGGACACGAGATTCAAAAGGCCCCCAACCCTGGGTCCATGGGCTAGTAGGTAGGGCAGCTGGCTGGAAAAGTGCTCCACTCCTTGGACTGTGATTTTATATTAATCATTGGTAAGCAGCTCTGTAGTTTTTCTGGGAGCAGAAACCCAAGTTGACATCTGCTCCAAGACCTTACCCTTTGTTATTTTCACTGTAGCCCCAGGAATCTTGAACTTCTGGTTGTTTTCAACAGAAGCTGCTTGAGGTTCCCATAGTGAACCAATGGCTGCAGGGAAGGGAGAGTTGTGAATTCAGATGCTAAGGCTTAAGAATGAAACTTACATTTTTCATGGCCTGCACAAATTCTTTAATTGGCCCGTCTTTAGATGAAAGCTCTTCCTCCTGCCTCTTCAAAGGGAGGAGTGAACCATTTGTCTCAACAGGATGAAGCTAGCTGGTGCCTGAGTGAAAGAAGCAGGATCCCGTTTCATGGAGACACGTACCTTCATGTTTCAGCCAGTGTCTTCGTTCAGAGCAGAGACAGAGCTGCACACATACCCCTTTCCTCAGCATTTTCCCCTGATCACTAATGCGCCCTGTACTCTGCATCCCCTGGCTCTGCCCCGTGCAGCATTCTTGCTGCTGTGGATGTAGGCACTTATCTTTTCTGTTTGCAGAATTTTTGTGTGCATAATGAAGCAGTGCAAATTCTGGAGCCAAAGGCTTAACTTTCACCCCTACCTGGCTTTGGAAATATCAGTTTTAATCTCCTCATTCCTCTCATCATACCCTGTTTACGGATGGGATAGTTTAGACTTACTCATATAAGAGAGATAATACAACACATTGCTGGGATGTTTTGTAACAGCTCAGGTTCTAGACAAATACAAAGCATTACTATTCATATTCATAAATATTTTGATGGTGTAGTTGGTATGTGACCTGAAGAAAACCTAGGCAATAAATCCACTACATTGCAGTTGTATTATAACTCTGAAGGTGTCTTTGACCACCAGTTGTTGCTGCAAGCACCATGTAATAGGCGCTGACTTCTAAAAGGAGTTAAGCACCTAAATGCATGTGAAAAATCCTGCTACTAAGGTTGTGCATTTCCCTAGACTCTGTAAAACCTATTCAGCCATAAAAATTTCCCTTGAGCATGTAGGTGGGGCAAAAAGGCCCTTAATGTGCTAAATCCGTACCCCATCAAAGCTCGTCAATAAGTTGAAGTCAAGGAAGTGATTACGGCAGGATGTAATATACATGTTTTCAGGGTCTTTCACAGCTTTTTGAGTAATGCCTTGATGCATAGCGTTACTGCTGCTGCACTGCAATTAACATCAGTAGATGGTTTTACCCGACAACCACAGATGAAATCCTAGTGAGGCAGCAATTGCACAGTGAGCTGGACAAAGTGTTTCCAGTTTCCTATAAGGTACGGCATTTTTGTAATTCATTCTGCCAAAAGAACAAAATGTTTGCTCTGTACTTGCTTTTGCTGTTGTGCACAGATCTGTCTCAATTACAGAGTAAACCTATTTTTCTTTTTTCTTTTCCTCATTTTTCTCTAGTCCCATGCTGTCTGCAATTCACAAAGGTTTTAAATTGTTCTTGTTATGTTGAACAAACAGAAATATTTCAAGTTTTTAAGAAGGAGAAACACTCTCCCACCCCCTTCTAGCTTCGAGGGCTTTTGGAAATAACCACATCTTCAGCTATTCATGTAGAGCACTGAAAACTGGGTACAGACCAGTTTACCATGTGTAGTGCTTTCAGCTGAGACCTGTGAACTGTTGTCCTTCCCCTCTGTGGACAGCTAAGAGGTGGAGCAGGGGTTATTTTGATGGCAAGGTGGTTTGTGTCACTCATCTATCCTCAGTGCAAGGCCGCCCTCTCGTGTCAAGAGTTTTGCATGTGCTCAGTCTGTTTTGTGCTCCCCAGCTAATGGAGTGTAATCATTCGCTCCTCTACGCCTGGAGAAAGCAGTAAATAAATGTATTTAATGATCAGAAGTGTTCCTCCCAATTCATATGCATAATGTGTTCTGCTAATTCATGTGATAGCTTCTTTTTATACCTTATGTAATATTTGGATGAAAGGGATTCATTTAAGAGTTTAAATATGAACCTCGTTAATTGAATTTTCTTCTCGTCTCTCCCTTAGCTATGACTGTCCGGAATGGAGGAAATGTGCTGGTTCCCTGTTACCCCTCCGGAGTAATATACGATCTGCTGGAGTGCCTGTATCAGTATATTGACTCTGCTGGGCTCTCCAATGTCCCTTTTTATTTCATCTCGCCTGTTGCCAACAGCTCCCTCGAGTTTTCCCAGATCTTTGCTGAATGGTAGGTGTTCCAGGGCTGCTTCGGCTGTCTCAGTTCACACTCTTAGCTATAGTAAATAGATATATGCAGTTTATCTCTACTTGATGTATTCTAATATATACTTGATTAGAATTGTGAACATGTTTCTTGAGACACAAGAGCGTGTGTGCGTATAAGTTGGTGTTCTCTAATTAGGGAAGCATCATTTCCTATAGAACATACAAACTCAAATAATTTGGGCTTTTTAGTAGTTGCATTAAGATTAAATTACATACCTGACTTGAGTGAATTTTAGCTGCGCCTGTTTGCACATCTTATCCAGTGCCCCCAAAACTATACCATGGTGTCCCTGTATAAGCAAAACAGATTTTTCAGGCTTAATTTTGCCCAGCCAGCAGTGGATTTTCATAGCAAAAAAAGGCCAACAGTATCCTGGGCTGCACTAGGCACAGCACTGCCAGCAGGTCAGGGAAGGGGACCCTTCTCTGCTCAGCACTGAGGAGGCTACGTGGACTGTGTTGTGTCTAGTTTGGGGCTCGCCAGTACAAGAAGGACATGGGCTTACTGGAGTGCGGCCGGCACAGGGACACAGAGATGATCCTTCAGATGAGGAGAGGCTGGGAGAGCTGGGACTCTTCAGGCTGGAGAACAGAAAGCTCCAGGGGATTTTATCAGTGTAGGGATACCTGATGGGAGGAAATGAGGATGAGGAAACCAGACTCTTCTCAGTAGTGCCCGCTGACAGAACGAGAGGCACAAATTAAAACAGATGATATTTCATCTGAACACTTTTTTGCTGTGAGGGTGGTCAAACACCAGAACAGGTTGTGCAGAGAGGTTTTGGAGTCTCTATGGAGACACCAAAACCCAACTGGACGCAGTCCTGGACAACCTGCTGTAGCTGACAGTGCTTGAGCAGGCGGTTGGAATAGATGATCTCAAGAGTTCCCTTCCAACCTCAACCATTCTGAGATTCTGAGCCATGGAAAGAAGAACCCAACCACTTGTAACTGGTCCTAAATTCTTACAAATTGAGAGATGCTCTGGATTATTAAATAGAGTAAGTTAACTTTTGCTTCCTTTCTTCTGGATTTTTTAAGTCTGGAGTTCAGTAAAGAAAAGAGAAGTCTTGGAAATCTGAGGTGAATTGATCCCTCGGGTGAATTGTAAAGAGGACTGAAATCTGATGAATTTTAATCACGTTACTTTCAGCAAAAGTAGAAAAATCAAGCCTTGGTGTCCTGGCCAAACTTCAGTGTACTCACCAGGGTTTATTGACTCATATAGTTTATGGTTAAACAATGTTTGATTTGTGATTTCATTTCAGTAGCAGCTGAAGTGGCGCTGCATAGTTCTTGTTGTAATGATCCTTTGGGTCAGATACTGCTGTCAAAGTAGCAGGACTGTTACTGTGCGAGTTGGGCCATTTTGTGTGTTGTGTCTAGCTGGCACAATTCAGACACCCAAGTGTTCAGACACCATGGTTTTGAATTCTACTTTGCTGTAGTGGCTTATAATCAAAAGTCAAAACCAACAGTAGCTGGTCCCCAAACGCCTAGGTGTGAGGTGAATGTTTTACTTAGGTAGAAATGGAGGCGGAGGTTGAACCTCTGTAAAACAGAGGTTTGGGGTCAGAACTGGGACTGAAATTCGGGAATTCAAGCCTTCCAATTGTACTATTTAGTCAGCTGAAAGAAATGTCCTGCTCTTAGTATCTCTTAGTCTTCATGAAATTCAGTTTGACTGAGCCTTATTGCTTTATAATAAAGTGGAGAAAGTATGAGATGGGTTTTGTTTCCCAGAAAAAGCCACCAGGGCAGTGTCACTGCAGATAATTGTAATGTCACACAGGCCTCTGATAAATACATTTTTTTTAGCTTCTGTAATAGGATGAATCAGGAGTCTGGCTAGAGCTAGTCTACAACTTTCAATATTTATGTTTTAAAAATAAATGATTGATGTAAAGTGGCAGGAAACAGTGAGCATTATGCCATGGTGAGAAGCAGTTTACCAACATTGCAGCTGCAAGAAGAAAATGCAGAGGGGAATTAGATGGTAACGAACAAAAAGACCCAGTCATTGCTGAGAAGTAAGATGAGGCAATTGGGATTTTACTGTTGACAGGTGATTTGGCTTTGCAAAACCTGCTGAGGTCTGGACTATGAAATGACATGGATGTTGAGTTACAAATTTGTCTTCAACAGCAAAGGAGTGACATAGTGTGAACAAAATTACTTCAGCTGTCTCGCACCTTCTCTAAGTGATCTCGCTATGACTGAGCTGTTGTGTCCTGTAGGTGTTGATTCTCTAGGCAGAAAGACTGAAAGTAACAAAACAAATTGGTGATTTTGCACCTGATGCCACAGATACGACATGGCTTTCTCCAGAAAAAGTTTAACAGTAGATGGCAGCAGACACTGCAGGATGTTCCGCAGCTCTCTAACCCAGCTTATTTCCTTTTCTTTTAAAGGTTGTGTCATAACAAACAAACAAAGGTGTATCTTCCAGAACCTCCTTTTCCCCATGCTGAGGTAAGTGAGTTTCTGGAACACAGTCCTGCATGGCTCTTGTTTTTCTGATGAACACTTCTACAGCTATTTAATAGTTTTGTGTCATTATTCATATAAAGTGGTTTTTTTTCCTTTGCTTTCTGTAATTAATTTGGGAGCGTGGGGGAGGAATGAGTGATGGTGTTCCCTCAACTCAAAAATTATCATGACGTTTATTTCAGCGTATAGCTTACATATGCTTGCTTGCTTTACTTCTTCCCCTGCAGAAGGCTATCTGGCGTACACATGGTTGAACATTTGTTCTTTTCAGAATGCAACCACAAATATTCCCTTTGTCCAAGCAGTTTGTTTCAAATAAGAGCTTGTTATCAGAGACAGCTTAGTCATCCCAGCTCCTACCTCCCTGGCTGAAACAGGCACCATGTTGTCTGCTGCTGGAGAAATGGTACCTTGAAAGAAGTTTGATACAAAAAAGTTAAAGCTTGCAGCAGTTGAGTGCCATCATTGGCAATTTTAAATGAAATTACCTGAGCTAGCTTCTTAGTGAAGCAAAGGGGAATCAGGTCCCTGTTTTGGGGGAGGAGCTCCCTGCAAGGTACGTTGAGGGTATTATCCCTGGGACAAAATAGTAATTTCAGAGGACATTTTAGCTAACCAGACATTAGATAAATGTGGCATAACTCATGCCTTCAGAGTTATCTCTCAGAGTTATTCGAGAAATGAAGTCTCTTACTTTCTCCACTGGAAACAGGTAGATTTCCCATTGAAGTAAACGAGACGCAGGCTGGGAAAGGAAGAAATAGGACTGAGAAATAATTTTGGCTAAATCTTCCTCGTGTGAGACAGTGAGCCATTCGGGGCGTGCAGTCTCTAGGAAACTGGCTCTTTTAGTTCCTGTGGTCAAAACTGTTTAATGAGATGTGCAGAGTGACCATTGTGGGTTTAAGAGTCCAGAGATTAAATCTGTTTTCAGGCCTTGGGTTGGTTTTTTTTTTTTCCTTTGAGATATCATACAGGGACTTGTTCTGGAAATTGCCATTCCCCATCCTATCTATCAATCTGTCGGTTCTTCAAAGGCATTGTTGGAAGTAGGATCTGACCAGAAGTTTTACTCTTTCCAGATGCTTGAATACATTTCAGGCAGGATGCGCAGTGAATTATGTATAATCTGTTACCCAGAATAATGCAGACTGCAGGGCAAGCCACCTCTTCACCACTTTTTTTTTTTTTTTTAACCAAAAAAACTCATTCACACCCGTAAATCAATTCCAAAGCCTGATCTCTGAGTAGGAGATTCTGTGCCCATGCCTCTGGCTATGCTTTCTGATTTCCCCTGCATTTCTGCTTCCCGGGGTGTCCTTGTTGATCCACAGTGCCTTTGTTTCACTGACATCCTATATTCTGCCAAAGACTTTGCTTCAAAATTTTAGTTTGCACCATACACTGGAACTGGCAGGTTTAAGTGAAAGCCCTTCCAAAAAATGAGAAGCCAAATGTACAGCTGTCAAAGACTGGATTAATTAACCCATCTTATATGATGGGTCTTTGTGTTTACAGAGTGATAACCGCATCCTCTAATTTTTAGGACATTTTATATTCTCCAGAGGCCTGTTGATAATGAGATTTTGCCAAATTGTTGTTTATCTGTTGAGCCATTCCTCTGTGCTTCATGTGTAGATCAAGGTAATTATGTAGGAAAGAACTCACAGCAGTGGCTAACAGATCAGTTTCCTTATGACAAAATGCAGTGCACAGAGGGAGTAACGTGCCCGTTACAGATACAGCCTTTGGTTGGCAAAACTAAATCGTACAGGTTAGGACCCACAAAGCTGGGGACATTTCGTCATGAGATGCACAGCCAGCTTCATCTAGACTCATGGATATCATTGATAAGAAGCCGTTCCAAGGACTCTTAGAGTTCCCCTAAGGGAGGCTTCTTCCATTTTGCCTAAGGGTTCCCTTGAATGTGCTAAATGACAGGATATAGTGTGTCTCCACATCCCTGGGGCTCCCAAGCTATGAAATGGCTGCAGCCTTTAGGCACGTCAGCATCCAGCTGCCATCTGAAGTACTGCACGTTTCACAGATGATTGTGTGTTGGGGTGTTCACTTACAGCTGGAGTATAAACACTGGGAAGTGGAGTAGCCTACACTACCCCACCCCGTGATGGACTGAATGGGTCTCTTCATTGCTAATTCCTGATACATATTGGCTGTTCTACAAAACCAGCCTGTATGGTGGGAGGCAGTGGCCCTAGGTATATAGCAACAACTCTTTCAAAAGCCTGGCATAATAGCCAAACCAAAACAACGTAATACCCAGGCAGAGAAAAACTGAGGCTGGTATTTCATTTAGTGCTTTTTGTAAGGTCATAAATCACTGACTTTTAGTCGTGCTTGAGAACACCAGCTCAGATTGCTCCTTTCTGTTCTGTAAGATGCATGGTTTGGTTTGGTTCGGTTTGGTTTGGTTTTAAACAATTAAAGCATATTGAAATGTGTATAGATGACTGACATATAAGACACCCATGCTCACCAACACAGCGCCAAGACGTCCGTGTCAGGTACCCAGTGCTCAGCATGTGCCTTTGATTCCTTGTTGCTCTCCTCTGAGGGACAGCTACTGTCATCCTTTTACTCCTGTAATTCTCAGCTGCCTTGGGCTGTGTTCCAGGTTTAGTGATACCTACAGCTGGTTATGGTTTGATGCTCTCATAATGCTTACATTTTTCTAAGGCACGGGAGAGGAGCTGGGTTTCTTTTTGTTCTGTGAAATACAGAGTTGGAACAAACAGTGTAAACAGAAGGGGGGCAAAATGGGGAAGCATTCTTTATCAGGGGGTGGAGTGATAGGATGAGGGGGAACGGTTTTAAACTGAAAGAGAGGAGATTGAGATGAGATATTAGGAAGAAATGTTTTCCTGTGCAGGGGGTGAGGCAGTGGCCCAGGGTGCCCAGAGAAGCTGTGGATGCCCCATCCCTGGAGGGGTTCAAGGCCAGGCTGGATGAGGCTTTGGGCAACCTGGGCTGGTGGGAGGTGTCCCTGCCCATGGCAGGGGGGGGCACTCAATGATCTTGAAGATCCCTTCCAACCCAAACCGTTCTGTGATTCAATGATTCCATGAAAATCCTGCAGCTGACACTGTATATATAACTCATATAATGTGAAAAATCTGTATAACCTCTTTTCAGTACAGTCTTTAACAAATGTATTATTTATTCCTTGGCAGAAACCCTATTATGCCTGTGCAAAGAGTAGCCACAGTAGGCTTAGCTACTATGATGTTTTGGTGTAATTTTACCAAGCAAAATGGTCTTAATACAGACCTGGCCTGAATAATTTGTCTATGGCCGTACCATCAGTCTAGGACTTGGACACAAGGCTTCCAGTTACTAAGTTAGAGCCTTTGTCAGCAGCCAGCCTTATTCCTGAGGTAAACACTGTCTTACTAAATCTGTGACTCCACAACCTCACCATCAGGGCTCTGCTTACTAGCACTTAAGGGAATTTTTAATGAGTACCAGAAACAGACATTGAATGATCATTTCTATCGGATAGGTTTTTAGTGGAGAATTGCCTCACTTTTTCAAAAAAGTGGTAGGCTCATGCAGTGTAAACTGTACGGAAATTGCCCATCATGAAAAGATGTGCTTAGCTGCTTACTCAGACATGCCTCTTGGTTATTAGCAAGCATTAATGACATGCCTGGCATGGTACATCAGAAAGGGACAGGCCAGGAAACAAGCTTCTAATTATCTACGGAACAAGTCCAGCCCAGCATGCTGTCTGGTCCTGAAATTCAATGTTCCTGTTAGATGTATAAACAGCAAGATTTAAAAACAAACAAGGTAAAAAATCCCCCAAATGTTGATGTAGTCTCTTGCAGCAATGAGTTCCAGTGGTGCCTGGTACATAGTGTAAGAGAGCATTTACTTCCTTTAATCCGTTATGATTGAATTTTGCATTTCACTTAACTATCTCTTTATTATTGTTACAAGAGGATAAATAAAAATATATTTATCCTCTCTACAATTATTGTTTTTATTTAATCTTAGTCTTCTCTCTATACTAAGTTGTTTGAAGCTTTTTCATTCTCTTCGCATGGAAATCTTCCAGGTTTATGTTTTATGTTACCTGTTTTGAACTCATCCCCTGTTCTGCTCTGCTGAATAAAACCAGACACACTGTTCAACTCTGCAGAGAACCCCAAACACTTCTACACCCTCCTTGTTACTTCTGCTTTAATGTAGTAGTAGGTGTTCATCATATCTCTTCCTGTGCAATCACTGCATACAATTTTTGGGGTGGCAATTTGTTTCCTAACATCTAGTCTGAGTGAACAGGTAATGTACTTTTCCTCTGTTATGAGCAAGGAATGTGGGCTGAAGTGCTTCGGGCTTGTAGGAATGGATTTTGACATCAATTCCTCCTAAAGTTAATATGAATGAGTGTCCAGATTCTTGCACAAGCTTTCAAAGTCTCATCTGCAGCCTTGTAGCAGCGCACAAGCTACAAGAGCTTCTTTTTAAAGGCATTTCTCTGTGATTGCTGGGGTAAGAGTTACTGTGACTGTTGGAGGGAGTTAGGATCTGGAGCAGGACTGCTGTGCATTCCAGCCAGTGATTTCTCAGGAGGAAAACTGGAGAAGTGGAGAAACAGTCAGTTAGGGAAGGGATGCATCACAGGGAAGGGATGGATCGCTCTGTGGATGGCTCTCCCCTATGCTGAAACAGAAGTGGAGATTCAGTTTTTCACCACCACTTACTGTGATGAGGAAGAGAGAAGGAGCTCTAACCAACCTAACAATGGAAGCTTCTGCAAAGTTAGAAACGGGAGTTGCCAAATGTGTGTGAATACAGCAGGCTGGCCGAGGGAGGTGGTGGCTTTCACTTCCAAGGCACTGGGTCAGTTATATTCTAGCATCAACTGTCTACATAGGCTTAGATTTAAGCTCCACAATGCCTAGCTGAAATGCCATGGAGCATAAATCAGTCATTTGTTTTGTTTAGAAGTGTTACTCTGGTATCCCAGAACCAACTCGTGGTATTTTACCGAATTCCTTGAGCACATGGGACTGTCCCATCCTGACACAGCCACAGCTGAGGAATTAGCCATCTCCCCAACCGTTTCAACAGGAACCATCCCTTTTGTGGAGGTAGAGCCTTTATAAATGAATAGTTGAATTGCTCTGGCAAGGCAAAATGAGAAGCTTTCACTCCTTTTCCTTTCTGCTTGATCTTTATGTAGACTATTTCAGGCTATAAGGTAAGTGAATCCAGACTTCTCTAAATGTCCACAATGGAAAAAATTGAGAGGTAATTTATATTGATCAGTATTTGCTAGTGGAGGAAGAATTTGGATTTGCTTTCCTCTTATTAAGGATTCCGTTAGCAACATCTAAGAGATGTGGTCAGGAAAAGCCTCTTTTTCTGGCTGAAAATAGCCAGGGTGGGAGTAAAATTGATTCTGTGGTTTTAAATACTAGCATTTGTCTTCTTCATCTTTGCTTCCTTCCTCCATATACCAGTTCCTGTGTAACATGTTCAAAGCAGTAAATACATGGAACCAGCTGATGGTATAGTATTATGTTTTGACTCATGGCATTATGTAGAATTAGGCCCTGATAGTGTTGTTCTTCTGAAGGAGTAAGGGAGGTGAAGTGATAAATATATCACTCACTCATTGATGAGAACCACATCTGTTCAAAATTCTGGATACAGAACACACACACAAACAGACACAGAGTAAATAGCAGCGTATTTTGACTCACCTCAATACAGGGTACACAAAGGCTCTGGAGATTTATCCTGTTTATAGCAGCAGTTGCTGACCCTGTAAATCAACTCTAGCACTTTAAAGGGAAGCATAACCATTTGGGATTTAAAAAAAAACACAGCTCTCCTCAGTCTCAGTTCAGTACCTTACCATCCTCTATCTCTTAAGCTTTCAGTCAATAATGGTTCTTTCTGTACAAAGATGCTCTGAATGTTGCTTCTGGTTTCCAGAAATCTGTCCCATTTTGACAATATTGGTTGGCTAAACGCCAGGTGTTGGTTCTGGCCCAGGCTTGGTACAGGTTGGAGATGTGAACATGACACAGTGGTGACTGTTGTGCTTGTACAACCCATCTCATCTGTAGATATAAAAGACCTATAGAAATATTGACAAATTTAGTCCCCTTAATGATAAGAAAAAAAAGAAAAGATGAAAAAAAATAATCACCACCCCTCAGGACATGGTGCTGAGGATTCAATATGTGTCCCTTTTCCCTCCTGAGTTAGTACCCCAGTTAGTAGCAGTGCACCCCAGGGTTACTCTAGATGTTTTGTTGCTGGAGAAAAAAAAAAAATAAAAAGAATGACACAGACAAAACCCAAGGTCCTGAAAACTGGATTAGAGATTGTGTTTCTCTACAAAGTAGTAGGAAGGGATTTGAAGCTTCCATAATGCTTGGAAGATAATACAGCTTTTATGTTTATAAACAATGAACATTTGTATAGGTATAGCAGTGAAATAGGCTGTTGAGAATGTTTTTACACATGGAGTGCTGCTCTCACATCTCAGCAAAGATTTGAATGCTGTATACAATTATATATATAATCCTAAGGAATCTGTGAAACAGGATGCTGGAAGAACAGCTGGTGATTTTCAGAAGTGTGTTACATAAATGCTAGCTGTTGAAATGCCTTTCACTTAGCTGTCTGCTGGTCCCTGACAAAGTTGTGCCCTGGAATGTCAGGTATCCCATTTAATATTTGAAGCAGAAATTGTCCACTTCATCCAGTTTACCCAATTGAAACTGCTGTTGCAACTTCAGTTTTGAGGCTTTTGGCTTTCCTCCAAAAAAAAACAGGGAAAAGCTTCATGGGGCCATTTCCTACCCGTTCTTTTAAATGCCAGTATTTTATGGGATCAGATTTGTTTTGCCTATTGACTGCCAAACAGCAGTTTTTGTTACTGAAGCTAAGTTTAGATTCTAAATATTGCACTCCAGATGTGTTAATCAGAAATCTTTACCATTCTTAATTGCAGAAATGTTTTCAAGCTTCAGTGCATATTAACTGCCAGAGCAGTTACTGGATTTTTTTTCACATTTCCTTCTTGAAGATTTAATAGGAATTTTCTATTACTAGTTAGCTGCAGCAAGTGTAGTCCCCTAGCTACTTCCTCCATGATCCAAGGATCCTCATGGAAATAACGGGCTGTGTCCACCTACAGCTTCCATCTTACGTCAAGCCCCGGAAGGAATGATACCAATCCCCTTCCCTTCCAGCTAGCTAGCTATTGCACAGCCGTTACAAACAGGACGCGGGGGAAGTCAAGTGCAAAATCGCAGAAAAATATTTGCTGTTAGGAACTTGAAGGAGTCTCTCGAGGAAGCAAAGGAGAAAGATGTAAATATTGGCACCTATGTGCAGCCAACTTTCTGTTATTGAAAGGATGTTGAGGGTAAGGTTGTACGTTGTCTGTTCTAGCACCTAAGCATATCTTTAGGTGGTGGCAACCAGAAGTTGAGTCGGGTTGATACTTTTGTTCAGTGATGCTAAATTCAATTAAGAACCTAGTTGTGTAATAACCTTAAGTTCTGAAGTGCTTTGTTGTGCACAAGTTGCTGAGAGGCTTAAAGACGCATCAGAATCCTCAGCTTTCTGGTCATTTCCATGTAGGCACGCTATCTTGAGTTAGATCTGCCTTGGTAAAAAGTAACAAATAAAAGAGAATCTGGAAAGATGAATTGCAGCTTTCAGAGACCAGAAGAGCTGCGTATCATAATGTTCTTTCTTAGTTCCTCTCTTGAAAATCCAATGTTACAATGAAGAGGAACGCCCCGAGTGGTGGGGTTTTCTTCTGGAAAGGCGTGATGCACACATCATGTTATGACATGTAGGGAAGAGCATGCCGTTTGCTAATGAGTCGTATTGTTTGGGGTTCCACGGCACAACAGCTGCAGAAACGTGTTGCTGAAACCTGCACTTGGGAATTCTACATTTTGAGCAAAGTTGTACTGCCTGACAGGAGACGCCAACGTATTGAGAGATCTTTGGTGAACAGTCCCACCTCCTTTAAAAACTGGCTGATATAGGAAGTACCGTTCCCTTCTCTCACGCTCTGTTTCTGTGTATGTTCTTAGTTGTTCAGTGTGTGATTTCCTTGTGTTAAATTGCATACTTTTTAACTGTATTTACAGTTATTTCAGGCTGAGGATGGAAGCATATACCTGCCAAAAAGTACTTGCAAAATATTGCATGAAAGTGCTTAGTAGATTAGTCTATTACATTGCTTTTTAAGTTGAACCTTGCTTTGCAGACTAGAAAACAGTGGCAGGAGAAATAAAGCAAAATTCTTCTTCAAAAAGTGTCTTGATAAGTAAACTTCCCCATCTTAGTAGAGAAATCTGTTCCACATGCATGGCTGATAGCACTCCGTTTGCCAGCTCTAGTGACAAGTACTTCTTATTGCTCTTGGTTCATTGTTATTACTAGTTTCAGCAATAATTAAGGAAGGGCAAGTCAGTCTCTTCTTTCATATGTTTTTTTCGGAGGACTTGATTCTGTGCAAACCCGTTATACCAGTGAAACTCATGGCAACATGCTGCTGAAGGCAAAATTGCCCAGTATTAACTGTGATGCAAGAAAACCAGGTTAAACATCAGTGCCCAGAGATCTTTGTAGACATGGCAAATAGGAAAAAAGTAGCTTATTTTGAAATTTGGCAGCTGAGCACTCTGTTCGCTCCAGGAAACTCTAAGCAGGGAGTGTTTGCAGAGTTTTCTCTCAGTTACCACACTGCTGGTACCAAAGAAATGAGAGCAAGGACTTGGAGGCACCTGGCCCCGTATTCTGACTTCCTTTTCATAACATTTAGGACAGTCATGACTAAATCTTTTGGAAAATCTAGGGGATATGTAGGAGAGGACTCTATGATGTATTAGAAATAAACTGTAGAATATTTATAATCTCACGTAAATAAATGCACTGAACTAACAGAGCACAGAAGCATGAAAAGTTTGTAATGTCTGGATTTTTGTTTTTATTTCAGCTCATTCAGACAAACAAGTTGAAACATTATCCCAGCATCCATGGAGACTTCAGCAATGACTTCAAGCAGCCATGTGTTGTGTTCACTGGACATCCGTCTCTTAGATTTGGGGACGTGGTTCACTTCATGGAGTTGTGGGGAAAATCTAGCTTGAACACTGTTATATTCACAGGTAAGTAAAATGCGGTTATCAAATTAACAACAGATTGTGCACTCTGGTTAAGTGTGGCCACATCCTAGGGGTTTTACTCATTTGTTCTGGGGCAGAAGTTTCTAACTTCAGTAGGAGCTCATCTAAATTAAGACCTCAGGACTGACTGTAGGGACAAATGTAATTATTGTACCATTTAATTCGTTTCAGCCCTGCAGAGCCAACCTTTGCCATGCAGAGCCCATTCCTGCCATTTCTAAGCGAAATCTTTGTTATGCACAGCAGTAAAATGCCTACAGGAAATTAATTTTTGGATTAAAAGCAGCTGGCTGCAAGTTAAACCCAGGCAAGACCTAATTGATGCTGGTCAGAAAGGAGAAACTTCTTCTCTGTATTCCACTGGAATCACAAACCTTTCCTCACCCTTTCTCCTGCCCTTTCATCAAAACCTCAGGCAACCAGACAGTCTGTTTCTGAAGATGTTTCTGTCATCTCTGCTGTTTCAGAAGTGTGCACCCCATACAGACCTGGCAGTGGTGATCTATGCCATTACTGCCTTTGGGCTGAGCTTTTTTTTCGGACACTTTTTGGCTGACAGACACATTTGTATCTGAAGCTGAAGGTACTGCTCTAGCTAATACCCTGGGGAGTTGTTTCTTTTCTCAATGACTCAGGCTTCCAGGGGCACAACAGGTCTTTTAAATTCCTCCACTTCTTCCAGTCTGCTTCTAGTGCTGACCCTACTTCTGATGGATTTAATGAATCAAGCTCCATCCACCTCAGAATGAGCTATGGTCTGAGATCCCCAGGGCAGCTGCGTCCTGGAACCACACCAGTCATTAACAGCAAGACAAAGTATTTCAGAGAGAACATGAAGCCTTTGGGAAGTCTAGCAAAGGGGATATCTTCCAGAGTTTGATCTCCTTTAAAAATACTTCAGGGCCTTCCCTCACACTGACCTTCTGTCCAGGTGCCTTGTCTTTATGTCCAATGTGTCATCCAAACAGAACCCTACAGTGGGCATTCTTCAGATCTGAGAAATAAAATAATCCTTTAGGCCATTGCTACAGATTTCATGTATAAGGAGCTCTGGTATAATTGGGAGATGTGTTATATATGAATCAGCCAGATAAGAAAGGTGTGGATTTTAGATTAGGACAAAGAAATGGGGTGGAGAATACTGAGTAACTTATCAAACCAACTCCCACAGTGAGGGTGTGATGGAGTCCCACTGTTAAACTTATTTTCCTCCTCTGTTTGGTGAGCAGGACTGCTGGAATGCACATAGCCTCCTAGAGCAAACAGGATTGGTGGTGGGTTATTTCTTGGGGGTTTTTTTTGACTGTAGACTTGAAGATAGTGACGGGCAAGATCCTTTGATTCTTTCACAATATTGGTACTAAAAAGTGTCACAGTATCAGGATACTGTTAGACCAATTTGGAAGGATGTAAAGAAGAGTATAATTAGCCCTACTGCAAGGGGAGGTTCCTGCTGAGCAGATAGGACACTTAAATCTAGACTGTGTTTATGCTGGGAAATGGTGCTGCAGCACTAACGCCATAGCTGTTACAGTACCTGTCACTCCTGCCCTTTAAGGTCGTTGCAGGAGATATGCCCTAATTACAGTAATTGGTAGAATTGCAATAGAGACATGCATTGTCTTGGAAATAATGAATTCTACTCCTGTTGGCACTTCAATTAAAACCAGAGTGTGTACACCCTCTGCTGGGTCGTGTATTCCACGAATCCCTAGGAAATTAGTAGCATTAATCATGTGAAGGTGCTACTCACCATCAGCGAGGGTGTCAGAAACTGGCCTTTAATGACAAGAGCTCTTATTGTGTGCCTTCTTGTAGGGAGAGGTAATTGACCTTTCTGTATTAAAATGCAATCCTTCCGTGAAATGAGGAAATAGAGCAGACTTCTATTAGAACGTGGCCCTGGCAAGTTTTTAAGGCATCTAAATGGCGGTCGTAACAACCTGTGGATGCATTAGGTCATGATCTTTGGTATTCATTCCCAGTTTATCCTTCAAATGAAACTCCAGTTGAGATCTGCTTTGTTCATGATGACCTTGGAGTGCACAGTGATTCCAGGTGCTTGTGGTGGTTTGTTTCCTAAATTTGTCTATCCGTGGCTTTTGGACTCTGTCTTCAGGCATATCCACTCGGCAGGATGTTCCTGCTTCCTTTTGACTGTCTCAGCTGGAACAAAGACATCTACGTCTACAGAAACTCATAGCAACTTAAATTCTTCTGTTCTTAGTAACTCTAGTGGAAATCTGAAGCATCTCCATTGGAGCCCAGGATTTTTATTATTTAATTATCTAGCTTCTCCTGTTTTAAGATAAAATCTCCTGTGGTTATGACAGAAATTTGGTCCATTGAAGCAGTATGTGATAGCAGATGATGTTGTAGCTTTTCCTGTGAAAGACTCCTCGTTTCTAGTAATTAGGACCTTTAAACTACAGGCCATGCAGTATTGTTAATGATGACACTGCTTGTTCAGTCCACAGGAGCCAGGTAATCTCCACCTTTCCAATTTGTAATGGAAAAAACTAGGAGAGAACATAGACTAAAACAGCAGCTGCAGCCAACAGACAGGACACCAGCTGTGAGTGAGCTGCAGTGCTGCCCTGCTTGCTTGTGTCATCTGCAAATGTTACCGCTGAAGCAGTATTGAATAGATTATTGATTCAAAATATTGAATCCCACTAAGCCACAAAGAAATTCTAGAAGAAAACACGGCAGAAAGAAGTCTGCTTCTTGCTCTCTCTCCGATAACAACAATGCTTTAAAAACAAACTCCCTAGGAGATCTTAGAAACAGCTCATGCGTGCCACGTTAGTGCTGTACAGTGGAAGATTTTATAACTCAGTGTCACACAGCAGTAAATCAGATGTCTTGGGGGAAAAGCTAAAGACTTGTAACTCTGTCAGAAAAAGTCAATATGTGTCCTTGACAAGTGCTTTCCATCAAGACAGGTGACTTCTGGTATTTTGGTAGTTTCGAAACAGCTCTTCCTGTATGTCATGTGAGTTCACTGTGAGACCAGCTCCAGTCATGTTTTTCACATTCTAAATCTTCAGAGTCCTGTGTTAGAATCCCTTCAATAGAATTTCTCGTTTTTCCAAGGCTCTTTCATTCTCATTAGTTGTTCGGAGAGACTATAGACTGGATGCCATTTTGGATTCTTAGATCAAAAAATCCATGTCTGTACCTTGTCTGAGCCTACTGATTCAGAAATACTCAGCCTGAATAGGTGCCACTGGCATTCTCAGATACAAGCAGTCAAATCTGTGTCATCCACTACACCAGATGGGGTGGAAAAGCTCTCTTCTGGTTACTTTTTAAACTTACTATTTAGAATCATAGAATCATGGAATGGTTTGTGTTGGAAAGGACCTTAAAGATCATCCAGTGCCACCCCCTGCCATGGGCAGGGACACCTCCCACCAGCCCAGGTTGCTCAAAGCCTCATCCAGCCTGGCCTTGAACCCCTCCAGGGATAATTTCATTGTACTTCTCTAGCAGAGGACCTGTGCCTGACTTAAGTTTTATGGTTTTCCCAAAGCAGTTTTAAAATTACTTCTGATTTAACCCTAATTGACCCTGATTTTCCTTCAACTAGCTACCTTCTTGGTATTCTTATTTTTAAACTTCTATTCATTGCTATTAAATTTAACTCTCTTTTTTTACATCACTATTTTTAGGCTTTGTTTCACTGCCACTAACACATCTGATTTTATCTAGCATGGCTTCTTGCCCAGTATAATTTTTATTTCACATTTGTAGATTCATGGCTTTTTGGTCATCTAGTAAGATGTTCTTGTACAACTACCATTTTTTGTTAATATTTTTCACTGTTCCCAGGCAGTTATTCTGACAATTGCTTTAAACTTGGGAAAATTATCCCTTTGACAATTCCAAACATATGTATCATTGGCTGCTGCTATATTCTGTTCTCACAAGGTAAATATAACCACATCGTGATCACAGATACTTAGCCAGCAGAAGATTTTTAGGCTAGCAATACTGAATGTCGGATGCCATGCTGGGTGCTGAACTTCTGTGGTAAAGTTGTAAGGACATTTTTTTCTTGCTGTCTACATGAGAAATCCAGCGAGTGCTGTCCTCAGGGTGATGTAAGAATACAGAAGATGGCTGTCTAAGTCTAGACTGGAGTCTCTGTATTTAAGTTTCCTTTAAGTTCATCCTTCTACACAGCCTGAACAGATACAAGAGAAATCCCTGATGCTGTTTTCCAGCAAGGCTTGGTGGTTTGCAACGGTGCTTCCCTCTGCAGGTTGTCCTTTGATGGCCCTGTGGTTCTGAACAGTCTGGCAGATAAGTCTTTCATACATCCCCGTCTCTTTTTCTCATTCTGTACTTACCAAACTAGTACCAAATTTTCTTTTTCTAGCATTCCCTGTATGTGATCTATCCCACAATGATGTCAAGGAGCTAGTGATGGCATAAGTTTTTCCGCATTATTAGTTGGTGGCCCGCATAGTCAAGTGGCTACATGTGTCATGTATGAGACCTTCATTTTTCATTCACCAAAAATGGTATTTTTCTGTAGTATTCTAAATGTTGTATTTTACTCACACTCTCGGTCCATTCCGTGCATGACTTTTCCCTGGCAAACCTCTAATCTGACTTTAAAAAGTCAATAATAAAGAATATAAAGGGAAGTTGAGACTTTCTAGGTCTAATAAAGATACCAACTAATAGTTATCACAGTCTGTCTCTCCTGGATAGCCCCTGCTGCAAGAAACCTTCAGTTCATACTGGCCTGAACTGGAACTGCTCTGTTGGCGTAGCTGTAAAAAGCCCAGTTGCCTGTCCCTTCAACAGGAGGGCTCCCTGCAGGTCCTCTTGGGTTATACTAAAATTTGGACCCACCAGTCTAAACCTGGCACTTAGATTAAAAAAAACCCACATCTTTACATACTGTAAGGAAAAAGGGGAGTTTGGAGGTAGTGTGTCTGTAGCAGAGGACGTTGGTTCAGGTTTATCAAGATACAGTCTTTATGCTGCCTGTTTGTCGTAATGAAAAACAAGCTGACATTTGGGTTACCTTATCATACCAAAAACTTATACATCTTGTCTTCTTTTACAGGATATGATTAAAAATAAGACATTATGTTTTTGTCATGATTAAATTTGTTACAAAAAACATGCGATAACGTGTTCAAATGAAATAGTATTGCTCTGTTGCTTGATTAAAGTAAGACTAATTGTGGGCATAATTTTCATCAAATTAACTGAAAATAACAGGTGGGGGAAGGAAGAAGGGAAGACAAATCTATAATAGAATTAACATTGCTGAAAACAGCTTGCCTGGACTAGAATGTGGAATCAGAGAGGAACTGGGCCATCTTTGTTCTTAATAGGCATTCAATGTTTTCAACATTTCTCTTTTCAGAACCAGATTTCTCTTATCTGGATGCCCTGGCTCCTTATCAACCTTTGGCGATGAAATGTGTTTACTGTCCCATTGACACAAGACTGAATTTTATTCAAGTGTCTAAGTTGCTCAAAGAAGTCCAGGTAATGAATTTCTGTTGCCTTTCCTTATGTTTCTTCATGGGCCTGAAATAAATAGGTCTATTGTGAGTAACGGTTACCTTAAACAATAGCAAAATCAAGACAACACCCTTTTTTCCATGAGAGAGCACACAGCATTGAGCTTCCCTTTATGATCCCGCTCCAAAATGAATATGGAATCACTGCTCATCTCTGCACAGAGTGGGTGGAACATCCCTAAAAGCTTAGAACACAGAGCAAATGGTGTGTACAACATTCCTTTCCTCCTTTTTTGGTATATATAGTCATAAGAACTTTTTCCCTTTTTCTTGTTTGGATGAATAAGCCTGGCTGTGTCTAGTACAGTCTTAATTTAAAGGGTACCAAGTGCTGCGTGTCCTCAGCTCCCTCAGCTTTTACCATGTCCTCTGCTCTTTAATCTGCAGTTGATTCTTGCTTTGGTCCTGGTACTGCTATTCTGGAGTTCCGCTCTCACATTTCTTCCAAATCCACTGCTTTCCTTACTCCATTTGCAAAATCCAAACTACTTGTGTCCAGGAAGAAGGCCAGAGCACTCATGTAGTCTCTGTGTTCCCTCCTTGACTCTTTTTGGCTTCGGTGGCCTCTCCTTGCCCATCCAATTTGTTTCGACTGAAATTTGCTTTCTGACTCATGACATAATTCAAGTAATCCCCAGTTTTTTTCCTGGCTGACCTTTCCCCTTTGATCTATCTTCAACTTGTTGAACACAAAAATACATATTCTTCCAAACCTCTTAACAATGTCTGGATCATTTTCTCTCGTTGTTCTGTGACCTGGCTTGTCACCGTGACTGATAGCAATGCCATTGCCCGTTTTTCTGATAAGCATCTTCTTCCATGTTACTACTGAAGTATAACACTGTTTCCAAAACAGTTTGCAGAAACTGTATTATCCTTTGACTTCCGGAAATCCTGCAATGATCCTTGTGGCAACCAGCCTGTTTCTTTGTTAATATATTGCTGATAGGTCATGAAAACTGAGAGTTGCTTGTTTTGCTAATGGTTTTGCAGCCCTGCATATTGATACGTCTGCCTCTCCGTGCCATTTGGTGATACTCTCCACCACTACAGGCGTTTGCTTCCCATTTAGATGACGAGGGTTTGGAAGAAGAAGCTATTGAATATATTTTTTTTTTCCCCTCTCCTTATGGCAGCTAACATGACTGTTTGTATTGAAGAAAGACACAAAGCAGCCCTGCATATTGATACGTCTGCCTCTCCGTGCCATTTGGTGATACTCTCCACCACTACAGGCGTTTGCTTCCCATTTAGATGACAAGGGTTTGGAAGAAGAAGCTACTGAATATTTTTTTTTTCCCTCTCCTTATGGCAGCTAACATGACTGTTTGTATTGAAGAAAGACACAAATTTAGGCCTTGTTATTCTGGGCACTGTTGTATACAAAGCAAAGGCTTCCTGCGCCTGGAACAGTTTGTTCCAATCCTGACTGGATCTTCTGGAGTGCATTTTTTGGATGTTGTTGTCATAATAAATAAATTAGCTTACCAACAACAATCTGCTAACCTCCTTATGGCAGGGATTGCTGTTGTAGGACAGTGAACAAAATCAACCAAACATTTTTGTAATTCATCGCTCTCTTTTCCAGCCTCTCCATGTAGTTTGCCCGGAGCAGTACACTCAGCCACCACCCACCCAGTCTCATCGCACAGATCTGATGATAGACTGCCAGCCCCCGCCGATGTCCTACCGCAGAGCAGAGGTGCTGACTCTTCCGTACAAACGGCGCTACGAGAAGATTGAAATCATGCCAGAAGTGAGTAACAAAAGTGGGGAAAAAGATGGTGGCTTCCTGCTCATACAGCCAAATTCAAGTAGCCCCTTTGACTAAAGGTGTCTTGTGGCTGTGATTTACTGTTGACTATGGTCGTGTAAAGCACTTTCTATCAGTAATACGCAAGAGGATTTAGAGTTGTGCGCATGCCTGCAGGGCTGCGATCTCATTGGCATCACAGAGATGTGGTGGGATGGATCCTATGACTGGAGTGCTGAGTGGAGGGATACAGGCTCTTTAGGAAGGACAGGCAGGGGAGACAAGGATGGGGTGTCTCCCTCTGCGTCAGTGACCAGCTGGAGTGCATGGAGCTACGCCTGGGGTGGATGAGGAGCTGACCGAGAGCTCGTGGGTCAGGATTAAAAAGGAGGGCAGGGACAAGTGGCATTATAGTGGGGGTCTGCTACAGGCCACCCATCAGGATGAGGCCCTCTATAAACAGATAGGAGCAGCCTCATGTTCACAGGCTCTGGTCCTTATGGGGGACTTCAACCACCCCAATATCTGTTGGAGGGACAACACAGCAGGGCATACGCAAGCCAGGAGATTCCTGGAATGCGCTGATGATAGCTTTCTTCTCCAAGTGACAGAGGAGCCAACGAGGAGAGGTGCTATGCTGGACCTTGTTCTCATCAAGGAAGGGCTGGTGGGGAATGTGAAGCTCAAGGGCAGCCTGGGCTGCAGCAACCATGAAATGATGGAGTTCAAGATCCTTAGGACAATGAGGGTGCACAGCAAACTCAATACCCTCAACTTCAGGCAAGCAGACTTGGGCCTCTTCAGGGATCTGCTTGGCAGAGTGCCATGGGATAAAGCCCTAGAGGGAAGAGAGGCCCAAGAAAGCTGATTAATATTCAAGGATCACCTCCTGCAAGCTCAGGAGCAAAGAGGAAATCAGGCAAAAAATGCCCAGAGGCCTGCAAGGATGAACAAGGAACTCTTGGGCAAAATCAAACACAAAAAGGAAGCGTACAGAGGGTGGAAGCAAGGACAGGTAGCCTGGGAGGAACACAGAGAAACTGTCCAAGCAGCCAGGGATCAGGTTAGGAAAGCTAAAGCCCTGATCGAAGTAAATCTGGGCAGGGACATCAAGGGCAACAAGAAAAGCTTCTATAGGTACATTGGTGATAAAAGGCAGACTAGGGAAAATGTGGGGGCTCTCTGTACGGAAACAGGAGACCTGGTTACTACCCAGGGTATGGAGGAGGCTGAGGTACTCAATGACTTTTTTGCCTCAGTCTTCACCGGCAAGTGCTTGAGCCACAGCACCCAAGTTGCAGAAGGCAAAGGCAGGGACTGGGAGAATGAGGGACTGTAGGAGAAGATCAGGTTCAAGACCACCTAAGAACCTGAAGGTGCACAAGTCCATGGGACCTGATGAGCTGCATCCACGGGTCCTGAGGGAACTGGCGGATGAAGTTGCTAAGCCACTATCCATCATATTTGAGAAGCTGGAAGTTTGGAAGCCCCCTCCAGCCCAGCCCATTCTATGATTCTCTGAAATGGAGGGCTAAGAAAGAAGCATTTCTGAGAAAGATTTTCACCGTGTAAACTAATAGGAATTGAAAAAACATTGTGGGCAAGCAAAACATATGTTCAAGTTAATTGTCCTTTGCAAGGATATTTCACATCTCAAAATACAGAACAAAAGGCGATCTCTGCTAGCCACCTGTGGGGCAAGCCAGTCATCTCCAGTTTAAATATAAGCAGAGGCACTGCAGTTGGAATTAGTGGCCCAGGGCTGTGGAAAGGATCCAGAGAATATGGGAGTTAGTAGCTGGGAGCTGTCTTTCTCCTTCCCCAGCTGTACCTGCCATGAGAAATGCCCTTTCCCTTGAGGAGCAGTATTCAGTCGTACGTTAAAGGCATAGTAGGGAAATGGTTCATTTGTGTTACAACACTAAATAGTTAATTCCTACAGACTGCTGAAGTCCAACAGGCTAATGGGTTGCTTGTAGCCATCTATAATGTGGACTACTTCTGCCTGCAGCATCTATTAATAATTTATTAACCCCATAAATCAAATATAAATGTACCCATAATAGAAATGGTGACCCATGTGCTAACAGGCATGATCTTAAAATATTTTTTTGACAATCCAATCAGCACAAATGTGTCCTTGGATCAAAGGTGACATTGACTTTTTACAAACAGGCATTACTGCCCTTTGGAAACTGTTGAATATGTGAGTCTACTTTTAATCAGAGAGTAGAGGAGGAAATACCCTAAGTTAAGCCAAACATGAAGTACAGAACTGGTACGCATGCAACAAGGTCCCTCTGCCAGTCCTCATCACCCATTCCTACCATTTCACATGAGTGACTGCCAGAGACAAAGAGGGGTTTTTAAATTAGAAAATATACTTGGATGCGACTCCAGTATGTATATTCAATTGTTTAGTAAATTTGCATCTTTATTGGATCCTGTTAAACCTAAGACTAGTAGAACGTGGCTTCCATTCACCAGCATGATCAAAACAAACCTTACGTTCTGAGTGCAGTGAGCCAGCACACAGCTTACCTGTTACTTAAATTCCACTGAAGCTTTGGGTTTTCCCCTAAACCGTGAGGGTGTAAGTGAGCCTTTGTATGTGAGCCTGTCCCTTGTGTCAGCCCTGTGAAGAAGGTGGATACCAGCTGTCTATGCAAACAGTATGCAGATTAGCACCAATGCTACAGAGGAACATTCACCATACCCCATACATTTTGGAGTTCCTGTCAAGGGACAGGGCTGTCTAAAAGATAGCTAGGCTGGCCCATGGGAGTCGCAGGTTCAGTTTCCTGTATGATCAGCACAAGTCTAAAACACAAAAAGCAGTTCACACGGGAAAGGGATAGCAAAAGGGCACCGAGGACTTTAGAGTTCCCTGGCAGAGCTTATCAGTACTAAACTGCATCTGAAAACAAGTCAGTATTTCTCGTCAGCATGGCACCTTGCAGCATCCCTGACACTTGAGGCTCAAGAGGCCACGTGGATTCAACCTCACTGGCTGTCACCGATGTGAAAATGCTCTCTGTTTCTCAACCCCACATCTCCAGTGGTTCTTAGGTGCTGTCTGTCACTGAAGCGAATAGATTCTTCCTGTACTTCTAGGTAAAAGCAGTGCATAGAAATAAGAGCACTTCCCCAAACTGCTGAGATGTTGGAGGGAGGATGCTCTGTGGACAGTGTGGAATTCTCCAGCCTGGGAATGGGTATCAAAGAAGGACACACAGAAAATGAGAGATGGTTTCTAATCGCATTCACTTTAACTTAGGGATGTTCGAGCAGAAAGCTGCACAGACAGGAATACTGACAGAAAAAGCCCTTTTTTTCCTCTAGCAAATAACATCAAATTATAATCACACAGGAGTCCTAATTTCACAGCTATCAGTGCTCAGGGAGTAGAAGCATCTCATGTGATTTTCCATATCCAGGTATTCTCCCTGGTTCCAAAGCTGCACTTACCAACATGTTACAAAAAGCTGCTTGGTATGTAATGACAGTCTTGAAAAGACTTTTTAAGATAATACAAAAGTTAGTTAGGCCAGATCATCTCTGAGACTTTCAGGAATGCTGTCGTCCTTCACCGTGGTGTCAGGGAGGTAGAGTTTGCTACCAGGGGGTTCTTTGAGAGTTAGACCTGTTAGTGGTTGTGTGCTTGCCTCTAAGATCAAGGCTGTGGTTCAGAGCTGTTCGTAGGATGCCATTCCCCAGCACTGAGACATGCAAATCATCCTCAAAAAGAGATCTTTGCTCATTCTTTTTAAGGGAACTTGCTAGAGGAATAGCAGTGCCAAATTTGTAGTGATCACAGACTGTCTCCTCAGGACCATCTCTATTTCAGCATGTGTTCATCACATCACCATGTGAGGCTGGTTTTTGCTTCCAGCTTGCCCTGCAGAGTGGTGATAAGCCATGGGAGGGATGGTACGCTGTCTCCCACCCTCTCTGACTTTGGTCTTTGAGTCTTGGCAGTGTAGCTGATAACCGCTGAGAAGTGTAGCTGTGTAATCTCTCCTACTCTGTGTAACCAGTCACAGCAGTTGATCCGAAAGGATCATTGTTTGGTTTTCAAATAAATGGGAGAGGGAGGAAAAGACTGTCTTTTCCTGGGGCCTGTACTTCCTTTGATGCTGACTCGCTAAATAAGCATGATATTATGGTGATATTATCTCCTTACCTCCCTAATAATTTCTACACGCCATTTGCATGGCTTGCCTCTTTCCCCCTCTCAGCCGTTTCCCTCTCTCAGCAGAAGTGTGTCCCATTATGCGGAGGGACCAGTAGGATGTTGGTTTTGAGAGGTGGATGCAAATGGCCTGTTGGTTTCAGGCAGGGTTTACACAGTAGTGGCAAAAAAATGTCTGTAACTGCCCCTTGTACTGGATGGGTTGTGCAGGACGGGATTGCAGATATGGTAGATGAGGCTCCCTGGTGGAGAGTATTTGCTGCTTGGTGTCCCCTTTGCAGTAGTTTCATCCAGGAAGACTCTTTAATGGTGCCTGAATATATAGGAATTTCTATTCTGCAAGGAAATGGCATTTGTTTCACATGGGCTACCACCAGCTTTGGGGTCCTGTGAAGGCTCCTGCAGCAGTTGGAAGGGATATTTTATAGCTCCTAGCAAACCTTGCAAGGCTTGATATATGTCAAAACCATGTTAGCTGAAAATGGAATGATGAAATCCACTCTTGTAAAAAAAATAATTGCTAGGTATGCTCCAGGGCTAGGAGTTGGGTCTAAGGTACAGCTAAAAGTCTCGTAAAAGAATGTCTGCTTCAATGAAATCCTGATCAGTGCCCTCTCCTAGCATCCACAGCCCTTTCTCAGAAGCGGACATGTGCTGAAACTTCTGTCTCAGTTCTTAAAGCTTTTGAAAACCAAACAGTTGGCTCAGCGTGGTTTCAGTCAATACAGACTGACGGTATGGTAGTGTGAAATCTCCTTTCCAAAACTGTTTCAGTGGTTCAGATTCTGGCCTGTCAGACTAATGGAAATTT